TGCTTACTGGACGTCTATTTCCCCAAATATGGTGATAATAGGTTTTGACCCATCCCCATTTATTAGTACAAAAACTATGGTTAAATGATACTTATGACTATAGTTACGTGTAGACTCCGTGGTTTGCCCGGACTGCAACATTGGGGACGCCCTGTTGTCGAACATGATAAGAGAGATTGCGTGCACGCAGTGTTTTCTGGTTTAGGATTCAGAGTTTCAGGGTTTAAAGGTCTTCGGGTTGTAGGGTTTAACATTTAGGGTTAGGGTTCGTCGTCTGGGAAATACCAAAACACTGGCCCTAGGCAGGCTTTTTAAGCCTATCGAAGAATAATGTTTGCACACTATTCTAAGCTTCCGGGCAAACCACAGGGTCGTGCCGTATAGATGGATGGGGTTATAAACCAACTTATATCTGGTGGGGCATCACCTTGCAGGGGTGGTTCTATGAGTTTCCTGTATATTTTCCCATCATTCAGATCAAGCACGCAACTGGAACCTAAAACAACCAGAATCAATTGTTGTTTCCTGCACCACACAGGGTTGTTCGGGGAAACCGCTATCTATTTATGGTTTGTTGGGGTTCCAGGTATTATGACTTATTAAACAGAGTCTAGCCATCATTTTGTTTTTCCCCTTGGTTGTTCTTTGTACAATACAATTTTCACAATGGAAAATCACAGCATCTTTGAAGCCTGACCATTGGTTATCCACCCATGATGTCCCACATGTTACCCTCTGGTAATTTGTTACATAGCTATTGAAAATACACCATTTATAGCTGATTTACCTATTCAATCCATAGTTTTTTTGTATATTTGCCAGAGGGTAGATGGTTAAAATGTCTAAATGTTGGTCAAATCCCCATCAGGTCAAATGGTTAAATCCACGATGCGCCATCCACTTCTTTGTTGGTTATCTCCCCAGTATCCTCTTCGTCCCCATTCTTAATAGTTACTGGTTGGTAGTTTCAAGCCCTCTGAAAGATATGAAAGTCAGTTGGGATTACTATTCCCAATATATGGAAAAATAAAAAATGTTCCAAACCACCAACCAGGTTAAATGCAATTACATCCAACTAGACCCCACTGAATTTCATTAAATCACTAAACAACAACATGATTGCCGCTCGTAATCCCATCCCAATAACATTAAACACCCTTTTGTATGGTCTCAAAGATGTGTTAATCCCTGACCCTTCTCTTTAGGGTGTTCAATATTACAAGGTGCCACAAACGTTCGATTTGTTGTTTTTAACCCCAACCAATTGAAGGTCTAACCAACTTACCCTCTGGTAAACTAACATAACTATGGAAAATCACCATTTTTAATGGGAAAATCCACTATAAATGGACATTTTCAATAGCTATGTAACATATTACCAGAGGGTAGAGATCGTTTTGGAATCCCTGAAACCTGGGAAGTTCCCAAGGCCCCCCGGAACCGGGTGCCTTGGGCGCCCCTTCCGGGCGTCGGCGGCGTTGGCGCGGCTGGACCCGGGACCCGCGATGTCGCGGGGACCGCGTCGTCACGGGTGCAGCCATCGCAGCTGAGGACATCCAGCAGCGTGGCGACCATAGCTGGGTCAGAAAATGTGGAGAGCTATCATGTTTTAATTAAAATACCCTCTGGTAATTTAACATAGCTATTGAAAATGGCCATTTATAGTGGATTTACCCATGAAAAATGGTGGTTTTCCATAGTTATGTTAGTTTACCAGAGGGTAATAGTTGGAATATCTGTCTGAATATCATAGTAATATAATTCAATACATAGTGATGTAATTACTATGTGGAATAATTATAAATCAAAACGAACTGTGATTCAATCAATATCTAAGGGATGATTTGGATGAACTATGAAAAATAAGTGCAGCTCATCATCAACCGCTTTTTGTTCGGATAGTCGGGCGCTTAGCGCCCGAGGCTAGACATCGGATGCTGTGAACATCTGTTCTTTTTCAAGAAAATCGGTGCGGCGGTGCACCAGTTCCAAGGAGCACTGGCCAGAGTTTGGATCTATCTAGGCTAGTGTATATATATATATATATCCAAACAATCCATTATATAGGATCCATTGTCTGTATAGACCTATATATATCATACAATAACATAAATGTATAAATATATATCTCTTTGCTATCCCATCTATGGCACAAGGAGAAAACGCAGGAGTGCAGTTTCTACATTTTCTGGATGGAACTAATTCGAAATTTTGGCGAGGCTTGGATGTGGCATGGGAGGTCAAGCTTAACGGAATCTCAATCCGGCTTTTACAGATTCCTCCCTGCATCGGCAACTTGGGATTTGTGTTTTCCCCATAGATACAGCCATACCTTCTGAGGAAATGTGGCTGGAGGGGGATTTTAAGCGTGCCTTCTCAGGTCGTATTTGGATCCAGATTTAGCCATCAAACATCAAACCCTGAAAGGTTTCATTGCAGGACGCTGCGAGCACGAGCGCGGCGCGATCCGTGACGGGGGTTGGTGGGATGCAGATTTTGCTTCCCTACAATCCCATCTCCCCAAATCATGACACCAAAATGACAATTACATAGATCTACCATCTGGTTATGACTAACATAGCCATGGAAAATCACCATGCTACTAATAGGTAAACCATCGAGGGGAAGGTATTTTCTTCAAAATTCAAATCAAGGCGATTAGCGATGGAGACTCTAAGATGCTCCAAGCACTGTTTATTGCTGACCTCCAGTCTTCGGGTTGGTGGGGGCATTTAAACATGGATCTCCCTGCAAATGTTCATCTGTGGAGACACCCCTCAGATTGATGCAGGTTTACGTTCTTCGCTTTCTGGCTAAGATGGGTCAAACGCTAGATGACCAATCAACCCGTGGTCAATCTTTGGTCACAACAAGGTCGTCTTTTGTTGGTGATGCTTACATATTTTTTGTAGCAAAAAGCTAAAGGATTTCACATGATTTAAGTAGCCATCCAGTCGGTTGGGGATTCCAATCATAGATTCCCTACCAAATCCCATACACTCCATATATAGTCCATATATCTATACCCATAGCATCCATGGTGCTGGTATATATGCTAACATAAAGGGGGTATATTGATGGTAAATGATACCATATATAGCATACATGGATCCTATGGGATATGTAGATTCCAGTGAAATCCCGACACCAAATTTCTATGAAATCACCACTGTAGGAATATAGTAAGGAGGTAAATCCCCTTACTACATAGATATTACTTCCAATGATCCATACAGATGAACCATAACCGTGAAAATAAGCTAAATCCCCTTCAATAGGTAAAAGCTAAATAGGTAATCATATTCAATGGTTTATTTATAAGGTAATTCACCAATTAATCCTACAAAACCACATTTTTTTAAAGGTAAATCCCTATGAAATCCCCGTATTAGATCACCATTAATAAGGTAAATCCCTTATTTCTACAAGGTGGTGCCCCCCCAGTTTTAAGTTGGTTTATAACCCCATCAACTAGTTCGATATATCTACCATAAACCATAGTTATTGGACTTATGTTCACCAACTTTGCTAACTATGGGGCACCACCTTGTAATGAATTGTTCATCTATGTTTACTTTATTTCCAACATTTAATGATTAATAGGTGATCACCAATAACATACGATTTATCATATCATTTATGTTATTAGAGATGAACCTTATTTCTAGTCTGGTTGGTGGTTTCAACCCCTCTGAAAAATATGAGTCAGTTGGGATGATGAAATTCCCAACTGAATGGAAAGTCATAAAAAATCATCTTCCAAACCACCAACCAGTAGAAATGATCCTTATTTCCAACCAGTCCTTATTTCTAATGGTTCAAACGGTTCAAACCTACAATGTGAGGCCCTCAAGATAGCGTTCAGTTGGTTTATAACTCCAATAGCTATATGGTTTATGGTACATAAAATAACTCTATAGTTACTGGGGCTTAGAAACCAACTTAGCTATCTTGGGGGCCTCACATTACCCTCTGGTAAATTAACATAGACCCTGGCAGATAGGGGTTGGAAGATTAGTTTCCATTAAAACTAGGCTATTTTCAGGGTCTATGTTAATTTACCAGAGGGTATATGTTTCTTCCCCCGGACGCACGGAACCTTCACCACAGATCTCCTTCGTTCCTGGGAATCTTCAGGTCGCGTGGCCTCAACGGTCATCAAGGTGTAGTTCTTTGGGAAATGCCAGGTAAATCATGGGAAAATCATGGGAAAATATACATGGTTGCATATCAACTGGGAAAATAATGGGAACATCAACTAGAGCTACGCTACAAGTCACTAAGTTTATTGCAAACTCTTGCAAATAAGTTGGTTCACTATAGGGTTTATGGCCTATACATGATCCATATCTAGAGTTAGGTTTGGCTTTAAGAACTTCTAACGGGGATCAGGGGCATCACCTGGTGGTTTCTGGTGCCAGGCAAACTGCTGGTTTTCGATATGATTTTTTTTTTGGACTGTCCACTGCCACGTTGGTGGAGGACTTTCAACATATAGCCAATTAACATTATATACTGGTTGGTGGTATACCTACCCCTCTGACAAAATTAATATACTGTTAATATATGGTTGATATATGTTTACTATATGGTCAATGATGGTTAATGATAATCTGGTTGGTGGTTGACCTACCCCTCTGAAAAATATGAGTTCGTCAGTTGGGATGGTGAAGTTCCCAATACATGAAAACAAAAAAATGTTCCAAACCACCAACCAGTATAGGACTTAGCCATAACAATAAAAAGGACTTTCTTTCCATTGCTATTCCATATAGGCTATAACGGCTACCAATGGCCATGACGAAGCGGAACCGATTCATTGGAGGTACATTTTTTTAGGCCTAAATTTCAGGGGATATACCCCCAAGATATTGCCGGAAATACGGACCATCTATTGGGATCCCGGATTTCCCCATTGAAAACTGCCATAGATTTCTAGTTGATTTACCTATTAAAAATCCGTGGATTTCCCCATTGAAAAAAAGTCACCGTTTGTTCCATTAAAAAGACATCTCCATCCGCTTTCGGTTCCAGCTCGCCTGGACAAAGATCAAGTCCACCTCCACTTGACTCAGCGGTGGCACTGGAAACACCTCGTTAGCGCCGTTTTCCCCCTGGGGGATGCTCAATCGCTGTATATGACTTATAACCGGTATAGGAAATTCGTTATGACTAACGATTGATTAAACTGATGGTTAATAATCATGTTTAATAGTGGTTGATGTGTTTAAAATGATTGTTAATCATGTTTAATAGTGGTTAAAGTGTTTAAAATGATTGTTAATCATCATATTATAATAGTGGGTAATGATGGTTAACCAAGCTGAATCCCAACATAGCTTTAGTCTTTTTGAAACATGTGTTTTAGTTTAGGACATTCGTTACGACTAACACGACACTACAGTAATTAATGACACGTAGGCTTTGTAATAAAACTATGGTTGACCGGGTTGGCACCAACTTGGCTGACTATGGGGCACCACCTCGTACAGGAAGGGGCCCCAAAACGATAGGTGGCTGGCAGCTGCGCTGGCGCCTCGGCTGGCGACTCTTGCGCAATTCGATCCAAAACAAACCGACAAAGGTGAGGTCGCGGATATTTTCCTGGATCTGACCTCCAGCTTTCGGCTCCACCGGCATCTCCGTCTGCAGCCCATTGAACTTGTCCGACCTCAACTGACATTTCCAGCAAAATGTTCCGGTTTTCCGGAGCCCCGCCAGCAAGCGCGCAAATGCTGCAGTTGTCGGAAATGTCCAGATGGCGAAAATGTCGAACCAGGCACAATACACCAGGTTGTGAGGGCAGATCATGAACAGTGAGCCAGACTGAGCAAGCGAGCCACAATGCATTTGGTGCTGAATATATGAAAGCAAGTTTTGCGCCTATGACAGCCAATGTTGCCCACAACCAAGACCTTGTGCAAGGCCGACAGAATGCAGTGAGACAGCACCAAGAGCGTGTATCTATGCCTCTGTGATGACAATCTCGCGAGCAAGACGAAACCAGTCAAAGGCGTGCATCAGTACCATGTCAAGTGCTTTTTGTGAACGAACTTAAAACTGGGTTGGGCCCTCTCGTACAATAATGGTGATCAAAGGTTGCTATAGCTATGAATACAACTGGTTGATAAAAATATCGATTGAAACAACAAAACTGCATTCAAACACCACATGACCATTGGATGGGGAGAAATAAAGGAAAGGAACATGAGTGTCTCAAACAAGCTGACAACTATTTTGCTACCTTTGCGGGGCGGTCCCTGTACCTCCGCACACTTTTTCGAGGAGTTTCTGTCAATGTCAACTCTCACCAGGAAACTTCACATGATTCATTGCATTTTTTTGATTGTGATTGCCATTTTGCCAAGCAAATCTCCATTCTGATTGGTAGAACCCCTCATTGTTTTTGAAACCAACCATCATTGTTGTCAGTCAAATCCACGTTTTTTTTCCCTTCAAAGTATGCAAATTCAACTGTTTCATTGCTAAATAGTGCAAAATCAATACGTATTCAACAACGACTATATTATTTAGTTGTGTGAAATAACATGCATGTTTGGGATCAACGATCAAACCACTGATTGTGTTGTTGTTTCAACACATTACCATCTGGTTATGACGAACATAGCCATGGTATAGATGGCCCATAGAAATAGATGGTTTACCTGGGTTTACCTATTAAAAATGGGTGTATCTTTCCATGGTTCTGTTAAATAACAAGAGGGTCTTTCAAACATTTTCATGGCATGAAAGTAGTGCTTTTGTTGTTTCATCTCACCCTCCTTCCTCTTGGCCCTTGCCTTCAAGGGCAGCTGGGAATTGTTCTGGGCCTTCGGCAGGGATGCGGTATGCGGTGGTTCTATCAACAAGATACACTGCCAACAGGGTATGGTGGTTTTACCATGAAACATATGGGTGTGTCTGAAAATAGTGTACCCCTAAAACCCAATGGTTTTGCTGATCATTATCCCTATTAAATGGCTATAATTGGGAATATACCCTATTTTCAGACAAACCCATATGGGAGTACAATGATCATTACCATTTGATGGGAATATAATTGGGATACAATAGGGATATCTTGGGGATATCATAGCGAGTCAATGTTTCATGGTGCCCACGACAATATCAACAGTATTCAAACATGGCCATGGAACATCTGCCATTTCGACAGCATTCACCTGTTGAAAATTGCCATTCCATTGCCAGCTGAAATGTTCGGAGTATGTACACAAACACACACACATACGCATTTACACGCTGCCGCAAATACATGTTCATATTGATTATATATATATATATGTATATATATATATAAATAATAATTTTCAATAATTTATATACCTAGACCCTCCAAATACCCCGAACAAATGGAAAAAACAAAAAACATTATGAATAACACAAGAATTTGAAGGGTAAAAACGGAGGGTCTAGTTTTTGTGTGGTACATAAGTAAGTAAATAAGATATATATATATAAATATATATATATATATATTAATATTAATATCTATATATCTATATATACATATATATGTGCTACAGTATCAACCCCTGGTGCACAACCACTAGCTTGGTGAGCTAACGGGTCGCCACTGGTTTCTGCCGAGGTGATCTCCATGGGATCGGCTGATCTTTTTTGGATGGTGCCCCAGCGAAATCGCTATAGTTTGGGAATTATGGTAGATATATTCAGATATATATTTATATAACGAATTATTATATACTGTGTTTAGTATATATATATATGTATAATTAATATATGATATATATATATATATACACATACATGCATATATATATATAAAGTTATTATATACATATGTGGTTAATGGGCTTTATAAACCAACTAACATCACAATTTTGGGGCATGTTGCAATCTTAAAAAAATAGAACTGGCGCTGGCTTCAATCCACCAAGCCTGGTTGCTCACTGCGAAGGACGCCCGTCGCCCCTCGAGCCTCAGCGTTCTCTCAACCGGTGAATCAAATTTCAATGGCACAATTATTAATAATGGACAATCTACGGATGGACAATGAGATATAATTAATTATGTTCATCATTCCCAAACGGCAAAATACTTTTGTCGCCTGTTGTGGACATAATTGGGAAGTCTATTGTGTTTATACACATACACATAGATCTAATGGAGATAAATAACCGCCTGTCTAGTCTGAAACTTGGTGTAACCCTTGTCACCGGTGAGTTCCTCTTCGCAAACATGACTAGAAACATGCATGGTAAGTTGGGGTCCCCCGATTTCAAGAAATTGAGGGGCACCATCCCGGCCACCATCAACGACGGAATAGACAATGTTGGAATGTTTTGGGGATTCAACCGGCAAAATTGTTGGTATACCATGGTGTAACATGGGTATCAATGGTGACTTAACCCATCTTAACCACATTTGACCAACCATTGAAAGTGGCAAAATCAACTATCCTAAAGTGCAGCCTGTACCTGCAAGAAATGGTGGATGAAGCCAGACTCTGATTTCAAACGCTGCACTACCAGCTCCCCGGGCTTGAATTCGCATGGGTTAAAGCTAAATGATGCTAAAGGTATAGCATGTAGAATTATGTAGATATGACATGCTTGTTTCATGTTTTTTCCATCCGGTTACCATTATCCAATCTAGCAACGCTGCAGCAGGCCCATTCTTCATCCCCAAAAGCACCTTCTCTCATGGATGTTGTCGGGACGGTCTTTTCCTCCGGGGACCAGAATCTGATCATTGCCATAATCCTCACTCACATGGCCTGAATCTGATCGGGGCAGGATTGTTACCTGTAGGACCCTCAAGGCCTGTCCTTGGCGTCTTGGCGCGCAACACACTGCGTCTTTCTGCAGTGGGAACGAGAAGACGTTGCTGGTTACGGAAACTCAGTGTTGCTCGGCTGTCCCAGGGCACGAAGTGGAGCAACAAACGCAAATATTATCCGGAAAAACCTGTCGACATTCGCTTCATGACTCCTGCTATGAATGCAAGCATTCCACTGGCGTGAACTAGTCATAGCGCCTGAATCACACAACCAACACACACCCCAGGCGTTGGTGACAGCCAGAGGCAGATTAGGCCGCAAATCGGGAGTCATTCAGACCCTGAAAATCCTAAAAAACCAGATGACCCCAGTCAGTCACCATCACCCGGCACTTGTAGCAGGACAGGCCCTGCAGGAAATTGTATCCTTTGAAATTCTATTCCCGGATTTTTTGTCGGGCGATTTTTTTCGGGGGAAGCGTAATCATCTGGGAGGTCACTAGGGATCGGTTGATCCTCAGAATTCTCCTCACTCTTTCTTACTTGGGGACTGCTTACTGCAGCTTTCATCCGCAGGAACTTACCGATCGACCTCAGTGACCTCACTAAGCTTGGCTTTCTGTTGAACGTCAGGGTTGGGATTTATATTTGCGGTGAAAAACACAGATTTGACAGTTTCTTGAATACATACACAACAAAAAACAACACCTATCTCCAGCCGGTGATATTGCAGTGTGAAGCTACAAAGCTTTTGGGAGGTGTTAACCTATTCACGGCTGGGATATCATGAGGCCTTTAGCTTCCTCCACCGATCAATCATGAGTCTCAGGAGTTAGGCACTGGAGCCTTGTACGGGCCACTCCACTGATCATATGACCTACTTTGGGAAATGGGTATGGCCCTTTCATTCAAACGCCCAGACCGCTAAGGTAATCGCAAGCCCTACTAGTGTTCGTAATTAAACCCAATGATAAACCATCCCCAATTTGAGCTTGTTATTGTGGGGCGTATCATTTTTTTAGGATAATGTAGAATATCACCCAAACAGTTGATTATTGGCATGGATTATTCTTGGGTTTGCCAAAATAATATTTCTGTATGTCCATCTCCGATTGAGGGGGCAATATCCGAACACGTTGTCAGCCATGCCAATGAAGATCACAACCAATTTTACCGATGCAGGACACTTTTCGGGTTCGGGGGAATAACCGTGCCCCCTGTAAATGGTTCAGAAGCAGTTGCCTTTGTGTCCATGCCTTTGAAGTCCATTCGTGTAGTAGCAGACCTGGCTTTTTTGCATAATGAGCAGATAATGCACTGCAAAATGTTTTGACGTTAGCCTTGACATTGATGTGCTGTGTGATACTGCATGATGCTCTGATTGCACTAGAAGACAAGAAGACAAATCAACAGACGATATCGCACCATTTGTGTTTTCCCCAGACGCGTCGTTTTCAGACATCCAGCTAACAAGGTGACTTAATTTGCAAGGCCTTCAAGACATCGAAGAAACTATTCCCTACATTCGTTTTGAATGTATACTCATAGAGATCTCCGGCATCCACGGCATCCGTTTCCTCTGCGTCGTCAGCCCCTTGGCATTGGAAGGATAGGCGGCCATAACGCTCTCTCACATACCTTTTCAATCGGGAGAATTCACTTTCAATGTCATTGGAGTGAAAGCCCGTTGCACGGTCTCGCCATCCCTGGCTATGGTTCACAGGCGGCGCGGATTTGAACCCAATGTCAGCCAGAGCCGGTGAAGAGGCCTTCCACTTGTCATGCACCACAAATGCTTTTGGGCTAATGCACTTCAAGATGGCCTTTTTCATGCTCTTGATGCCCCTGGGCTTGCCGTCTGGTGCTGTCTTTGGAAGGTCCATAATATGGAAGCTGAACCTTTTGCAACCATTGTCATGAGTGTATCGGGTTGCCTTGTTTCCAACAAGAACAGCAGCAAAGAGCCAACGCCCAGTCCGTTGGTCTTTGGACGTCCCAGCAATGCCTTTGTTGTAGATTGACTTCATCACAGCAGCAGGCCGCTTGCGAGCAGAAGTTGATGAAGAGGCAGCAGGGCGACGAAGACAACTTGCTGGCCGATGGAAAGTTCGAGCAGGCAAACGCTTCACAATACGATCCCTCTGGATCTTGTTGGATTTGTGATGGGTCTTCTTGGTGGTAGCGGCCTTTGATATCCCACGAGGCTGTCCCATGTTCGTCTCATCAAAGACAACGACATCACCAGCTTTAGAGCCTAGCACAAGCTGGCCATACTTCTTGAGGTAAAGTTCGAGAGCATCTTGGTACAATCCCCTCCACCGCCGCAATGTTTTGGTATCATGGGCACCAAAGATCTCTTCAATGTCCGTAGTCAGCTTCGTCCAACGGATATTGAGTCTCAGGCCATTGACAAAGTACAAGAAAGCCAGCCAAGAATTGAGCCTCACATTTGAAAGCAAACCCACTGGACAAAGACTAGCTCGAAAGCATTTGTGGCCTCTCACGGAGCATGTCCATTGGAAACGATCCCCAGTCTCTTCCAACTTGACTTTGTGACAAGAATTTGCAGGGCACTTGGAAACCGTTGGAAAGAGCTTCAGTGCTTGGCAAAGAAGCAGCCCTCGCAGACAAAGAGTGTCTTTCAAATGCATGGGCACCAACAGGGGCGTATTCAATGCCTTCATAGCAAAAACGACTGATGAGGTAAACCAATCCTCACAAACACTCTTCTGGAAGGCAGCAATGGAAATTGGTGTGTCCTGACCACCCGTCTGCATGCTCAAAGTAGAGGCAGGTCGCTTAAAGCCAGCAAACATGCCTTTAAGATTTGGCTCTACAGAATAAGCTGATGATAGATTGTCCTTGAACTTCTACTTGAGACAAATATTTCTACAGCAAAAAGCTCACAATCATTTGCAACTGTTTGCAATCAAAAGCATTCACGCACACACAAGGAATTGCATATGAAAGTGTAAGTGCAAGCATGAAGAACGATATTGAGAAGGCAAGTGTTGCACATGTTCGAAGGATGACAAGACATCTTTTTACCTGCCAGAGCACACAAGTTGTGTAGCCTATATTGTACAAAGAGAGGCTGCTGCATACTGTCAACATACCAATGAATTAAGAAAATGAAGCGGCCGAACGGTCACCCATGCATGAAGGTTGCGGCCTCTGCGTCTGCCTCAAAGTCAACCTCCTCTGCATCTGGTGGGCTCTGGGAAGCTTCTTGTAAAGCCATCTCTGCATCCTGAGCTTGTATCTCCAGATCTGCAGGCAGCGCTGGCTTGGAACTCTGGGAATCTTCTGGTGCAACCATCTCTGCATCCCCAATCTGTGTCTCCACATCTTCATGTACAGAAGTTTTTGCACGTAGACGACGGTCTGGGATCACGAAGCTTCCACGGCGACGACCTGAGGGTTGTGTGCCTATCTTTGGCACAGGCACTGGGACAAAGACCTTTGGAGAATCTTCATCTCCAGTAGATGAGCCCTGAGAAGCAGGGAGATGCTTGGCATGGCGAAACAAGAGCTTGTCCTGGAGTTTGTCATTGACCTGCTGGATATACTGCTGGACATTCTCACACTCCGTCATGTGCGCAACACCTTCTTCGACCATGCGTTCTTCCTTCAGCACATCTGCATCAAAGGTCGGCCCAGTCTCGAAGGTACCACCTTTGTACTTTCCATACAAAGGCTTGTCTCTATCACTCAGCAGATCTTGATGAAGACCATCCATGTCAATCCGATGAACGATAGCATTCCTTTGTTCACTAGGAAGACGAAGATAGAGAGCTTGGTTGCCAAAGAGGAAGACAATGGAACGCTTCAGAACTGCCAGGACATCCTTCTCCTTATCTCCTGCAAAGATGTCGCTGAGCAGGCTGAAGAAATCTTGTTCAGAGATGGTGGAAGCCTCTGATTTGCTCTCAAATCTTTCCTCAGGTAGATCATTGGAAGCAAATGCCCTAACTTGATTGCGTACAAGACGGGTATCATTGTACCGGGAGTCCACAGTGCCATCCTCATCTGAGGTCAAGAAGCTTTTGATGTCTGCTATGCTGACCTTTGCACGGGATGGGTCATCCAAGAAGAGAGCCTCATGCACAACTGGCGCACGATGTCGAAAGTTGTCCAATGACTTTGCACGTCGCCATCCTGCCTGCAGCCCGTCGCAGCCACTTCTGCGAACATGGTATCTCCCCAGTGCCATGGCCATGATGATCACAAATGGAGTCTTGCCAACACCAGGACAACCGAGTAGCATCACGCCAAAGTTGAGGAGCAACGGGTAGAGATAAGGCAGCAGGAAGTCGGACAGAAATGGTTTCAGGCTGAATGTCGTCAATGGAAACGCAGTCATGCTGATAGCACCAGCCAAGCCCTTGCTCTTGTTTTGAGCCATATTTCGGACCTTCGCTTCTGGCCAGCCAGCAATTGGGGTGCCGGAGTCTGTCTTGATGTTGATCAGAATCCAGAGCGTCTGCTCATTGCGGGCATCGCACTCAGGGGCATGGGAATTGATGAAGGCAACCCCTTCTTCAAGTTCAATGTTGGGTGGGTTCCATTTGTCTTTGGAAGTTGTACTTGACATAGCTTGCTTCTCCTCAAGTGTATGCCAACGAACTTGGTAGCCACCCAAACGTGGAAGCAAATATTGTATGCCCTTCTTGGTATTCCATGGTCCTGCCCTGAAGACTGGGACAAATGCATCTCCACTGCACATAGAATTTGCAGCCTGAAAGGTCACTGGCCGAGGAAGGTATAGAACCTTCAAGATGCTGACCTGACCACCACCGAGATCGTAGTAGAGCAGGTCCACCTTGGAATCGGTAGGCAGAGGAACTTTGAAGGCAATTGCAGCAGGTAGGTCGGCATGCTTGCCCTTGGCCACAAGTTCACCCAGTTGAGCAGCAGCTCCACAGGAAGGAATGTTCAAATGAACATCGAAGAGAAGCTGGATGGATTTGATGCCTTTGGACAAGGGTCGGCATGCCTCAGTGGTGAAAGTTCCATATGGAATCGGATCGGAGCACTCAGTGTGTCCACATGAAGGGGCATCCAAGGCCACCAATTGCTTCTTGTCAACCGCTGCAATGGCAGTGTCCATCAGGGCACCAGACATGGTCAATGAAAGGTACCAAAAAAACAGGATGGCAAAGGCTAACTAGTTTGAGAGAACTTGAGCCATGACACGAACAGTGGCATTTATACCTTGAGGCATGACACAGAGAGTTGCATGTGTGAGGCCAATGAATGAACAGCAACACATTCTTCAGACGCAACTTCATCAGCCAGAGATATACCGGTTTCTTCAAAACAAAACGGCTATCCTCAATAATTCAGAAACCAGCAATGCTTGGACATAAGAATGATATGTAACAACTACATGTTGCAAAGCAGCTCTACATTTTGCCCATCAAGCCATGTCAGCATGTTCAGCGGCCATCCGCTTGCATGGCACGAAGCTTCGCATGCAATGCCAAGTTTTCCTTCTTGAGTTCCACGTTCTGCATAGTCAAGCGGTCGCAATCATCCTCAATAGCCGACTGCATCCGAGAGTTCACCGACCAGGCGTCGCAAATAGGTCTTGGAAGTGCTTGCGGATGGGCACGATGATGCTGACCCCTGCGAAGCCACCGAAGGGGATCGACCACGTCCAACATACTGAGAGGATTTAGAGGCCTTGGAGCTTTTGGAGGTCTTGGAGGTCTTCGATCCTTTGTCTGAGGCATTTGAAGCCTTGGATTTGACAGACTTTTTGGATGCCTTGGATGTCCCCGATGACGATGAGCTCGAAGAGGATGATGAAGATGATTTGGAGCTTCCTTTCGAAGAGGATGTCTTCTTGGGTGGTGACTGGGGCTGACCTTGCAAAGCATCTGACTCTTCATGTGGTTGACCTTGCAAAGCATCTGACTCTTCATGTGGTTTGTCCGTGATGGCCAACTGCTGCTTCTTCTTTGGTGGTACCTCATCTTCTTTTGGTGGGGTGAAGCCTCGCTTTGGCCTTGCCAGGAGGCTTCGCAGGCGCTCGTTGGCCTCTTCGGACCATAAGCCTGTTCTAAGCCCGGTAGGAAGACGTAGTTGCTTTTGAACAGTCACCATCGCTTGGGTCATTGTATCTCTTGTGATAGGTCGTCTTGAAGAATGGATCTCCCAGGTCGCCACCATCTCAGGATTTGGCGTCGGCGGTGCAGCCCGAGGAGGAGCGGCAGCATTCATCTGCACAAGCGGTGAGAGGGAGATCATAGCCTCACCATTCTGCGTCAATGCTACTTTTCCTTGCACGGCAAGCTCCATGGTGCTTTTGGCCGAAACAGTTTTTTTTCCAACTAATGATCCTTTTTATGAAAATGGCTGCAGACATAGAAGCAAGTCTCCAAGAATGGCAAGACCAAAATCAAGCAGAATAACTCTCAAGAAGCCCGGCTGCAACCCAGGTGCCTGAGAAGCTCGTGCGCATATAGGTGTGATGTCGCATCATTCCTGGGCTGAGACGTGGCAGACAAGACATTTAGTGTTTTGAGGTGGATAGGCATGGCAAGTTTTTTTTTCTATGGGTGGTAGCAGAAAGGATATGCATGAAGAATGAACCAATATGCACATTGTATGTCTCTCAAGTAGCCCGGGTGCAACCCAGGTGCCTGAGAAGCTCGTGCGCATATAGGTGTGATGTCGCAGCATTCCTGGGCTGAGACGTGGCAGACAAGACATTCAGTGTTTTGAGCTGGATAGCCATGCCTTTTTTTTATATGGGCGGCGGCAGACAAGATATGCACATTTTATGTTCAGAACTTTGCAAACTTTGCAAAGCTTTCTGGATTCAAGATTCAAGATTCTAGGAGAAACTTTTTGAATCCAGCTTCTCTCTAGACTTGACTCCTGGATTCAAGATTCAAGATTCTAGGAGAAACTTTTTGAATCCAGATCCTCCTGGATTCAAGATTCAAGATTCAAGATTCTAGGAGAAACTTTTTGAATCCAGATCCCCCTTCTCGACTTACATCTCCTGGATTCAAGATTCAAGATTCTGAGGGAAACTTTTTGAATCCCAAGCCTCCTGGATTCAAGATTCAAGATTCTAGGAGAAACTTTTTGAATCAGAATTATCCTTTCAGACTTCCCTCATCCAGACCCAAGGCTTGGGATTCAAAAAGTTTCCCTCAGAATCTTGAATCTTGAACCTTGAATCCAGAAAACTTTGCAAAGTTTGCAAAGTTTCCTGGATTCAAGATGCAAGATTCAAGATTCTAGGAGAAACTTTTTGAATCCAGATCCCCCTTCTCGACTTACATCTCCTGGATTCAAGATTCAAGATTCTGAGGGAAATTTTTTGAATCCCAAGCCTTCTGGATTCAAGATTCAAGATTCTAGGAGAAACTTTTTGAATCAGAATCATCCTTTCAGACTTCCCTCATCCAGACCCAAGGCTTGGGATTCAAAAAGTTTCCCTCAGAATCTTGAATCTTGAACCTTGAATCCAGAAAACTTTGCAAAGTTTGCAAAGTTTTCTGTATCCAAGCTTTGAGAATTGTGGTATTTTTATTTATATATATATATATTAAAATGTGTACATGTCTGCATGGGCACTGGGGAATTAAATGAATCAAAGCATATAAACAAACCAGTTCCAGGGGGCACGGTTATTCCCCAGTACCCCACTTTTCCCTCTTTGTAATCTACCCCACTTTTTAAAAGTCAAACCCAACCCCTGCACAGTACTGGGTCCATGTTCAACCCCTAAGCTAGGATTTTAATCTTTAATTTGTATGCATTTGAGGCATTGCCTGAAAATTTAAGATCTTCCCAAACATATGGATATGGCATCATATGGCTGTGTCTGTACTTTATTTGGATATCTTCCCAACTATAGCAATTTCAATATTAAACTGATGATAAGCCATGGGGGATTCTAAGGTATCCTACCCGGCTGCACCTGCCATCCGCGGAAACCGCTGCGTCCCGAACTGCGAAACGTCCAGTCCAGCACCGCTCCCTGGAGACAAGGTGGTAGCCCCTGGGAAAATCTTCACCCGGAAACCAAGGGTTTTCCCCTGACATATGGAAAAACACAGTAATTTTTCTCAAACAAAAATCCAATGCAAGTGTATATATATATATATATCTACATATATATATATATATATATGTAGTTACCATTAATTAGCATTAGTTCACCCCCCTTATAAACTACGTACAGCTAGGTTGCACCACCCCAACACCACCAGGGCATGGGGGTGCAGGGGGATGGCGGTGGCCGGAAAGTCTCGGTGTAGTTCTGCCTGATTACTGGAGAAAATCAGGAATCATCAAAAATAGGCTGTGGAAAAAAGGCTTGCACGGATGAAACCACCAGGCAGTGTTTTTTCTAAGACTGTTTGGAGCATGACTCGGGCACCATTTTCTTTTTTAACGGATGAAACATGGTTGAAGATGGGTAATCCGATAGGGGGACTGAACAGTATCTAAGTTCGTCTAGCCACATTTGTGTTCCCTGGGCGGATTGCCTTGTATGCTGGTATAAGATTGATTTGGTGGAATAGCGACGATTACAGTAATGTTGGTTACATCTCCATTTCAAACTAGCCAAAACCTGACACTACTACAGTCCTACAGTGTCTCTTGCTGGTTGACTCAGAGGTTGCGTTGGTTGAAACTACATCTTTTTACTTGCTGAAACTTCAGTTTTTGTCGGTAAAAACTCCAAAATTCTGTTGTTTACAGCCAAATTCCAGCTACAACCATCATTTCGGCTGGTGAAATCAAAACCAATTATATATATATAATATTCATGGACATCCCCATTGTTGATGGTTAAATCCCCACCTATTTGATTGGTTAAATCTTCATTTTTCATGGTTAAATCATATTTAATTACCATTCTTGGATATTCATAGATTTTCTTGATGCTTCAACTCAATCCTGTTAAATCATGTTAAATCAAGTTTTCGATCGTATAGTCTGTCATTTCGTTCGTTGAGTCAACTCCCATCGCGAACACCTTTTTCGAGGCGGTGGCCCTTGCCCAGGCCTCGTCGTTGCAGGGACGAACTCACGGAGTTGCGCTTCAAGGAGCCAGTGGAGTTGGAACGCGAGAGACCTTGGGAGTTCAGATTCAGGATATACAACCAATTCCAATTGGTGGTATACCTACCCCTCTGAAGAATATGAAAGTCAGTTGGGATGATGAAATTCTCAATATATGGAAAAAATGTTCCAAACCACCAACCTGAATTACATGCTGCTGGGAAATTCGAGCATATATGCCCATAGGGATATAGCCGCAGCAGCAGCAGCAGCAGTAGCAGCAGCAGCAGCAGCAGCCAATTTTTTGCAAAGATTCAGAAAATTTCTAGGGTTCCAGCAGCATCAGTGGCAGCAAGAGCAACGGCAACAGTGCAGCAGCTAGCAGCGAGCTAGCAGCCAGCCTCGGGAAACGTATACCACTACTACTGCTGCTGCTACTGCTACTAGCAGCCAACAGAAGGAGGAACAGCAGGAGCAGCAGGAGGAACAGCAGTTGCAGCAGCAGTAGCAGCCAACAGCAAGAGGAACAGCAGGAGCAGCCGGAGGAACAGCAGCTGCAGGAGCAGCAGCAGGAGCTGCAGTAGAAACAGCAGCACTACCAGCAGCAGCAGCACGCAATTTTCGGCAAATATTTTCTGTAGCTGTACACATATAGCAGCAGCAGTAGTAGCAGCAGCAGCAGCCAATTTTTGGTAAAGTTCCAGCAGCATCAGTAGCAGTAACAGCAACAGCTGCAGTGCAGCAGCTAGCAGCAAGGCAGCCAGCCCCGGGAAACGTATAGCAAGCTTTTTGTAGGAGATTTTAGAAGGGACATTTTGGACATCGTTCGTCCTTCAGGGCCATGGTGTTTCCCCGTCCAGCAAGGCTGTGTGTTTGTGGGCACGGCCGCAACAGCAGCAGTAGCAGTCGTCCTTCAGTAGCATGGTGTTTCCTTGCCGGGCACCGCCTTTTTTGCTGCTGTTGCTGCTGCTGCTGCTGGTGCTGCTGCAGCCACAAAATAGGCGTTGCTGCAGCCACGAAATACTAAATACTACTGCTGCTGCTGCTGCTGCTGCACCTGGCACCACAGGAGCAGCAGCAGCAGCAGCAGCCACCAGCAGCAGCCACCAGCAGCAGCACCAGCAGCAGGCAGCAGCAGGCAGGCAGCAGCAGGCAGCAGCAGGCAGCAGCAGACGCAGCAGCAGTAAGCGCAACGGCAGCATTGCAGCAGCTAGCAGCGAGCCAGCAGCCAGCCTCGAGAAACGTAAAACGTATACTGCTGCTGCTGCTGCTGCTGCAGCACCTGGCACCACAGCAGCAGCAGCAGCAGCCACCAGCAGCAGCACCAGCAGCAGGCAGCACCAGCAGCAGGCAGGCAGCAGCAGGCAGCAGCAGACACCAGCAGACACCAGCAGACGCAGCAGCAGTAAGCGCAACGGCAGCCGTGCAGCAACATCTTGAACACATAAGGTTAGGGAATGGACCGCGCACTCAACGACCCAGACTTTTTCACACTGGGCTCGGCCAGCCCTTCGCCACGCGATCCTGCTCCACCAGCGAGAGCCAATCAGAAAGTGGATGCTGAGCCACATCAACAGTCTGCAGTGGGTTTTCACCAGTCTGTCGAGCACACGCCAAGTCAGGGTTCCGAAGACGTGCCACTCTGTCGACCTGGAGCAAAAGTTTGCTCATAACCATCAACCAGGGTCTCAGCATTTGTTTGGCAAGGAATGTTTGGCCATGTCAACCATTTACATTCTGCTTATGGGAAATTCGGGGAAATTTCACCAATCCAAAAAAAGAGAGAGTGGGATTTTTCCTGGGGATATTATGGGATCAATACTTGATATATGAATAACAATACTGTATCCCAGGCCGTTGTAATGCTAAAGATACCCGGCCTGGTAAACGTTTACATAACTATGGAAAATCACAATGTTTAATGGGTAAATCCACTATTTCTATGGCCATTTTCAATAGAAAACTGTTAAATTACCAGAGGGTAGTTCTGGGATAAATCATATACACCAATTCACCGACCAGAATATTGCGGTCATTGTGGGGTGAGTCCCCCCGACAAAACCATTTCAATAGGAACATCTGGGGATTACCTCCAATAATGAAGTACACTGTCATCCAAGATTTCATTGCATTGAAGTCTCTGGCAAGAAACACAAACCATGTACGAATTCATATGGTAAATGTGCGGATTTTTGGACTTTGCACAACGTGATTTTCTTGAAACCCCCGACCTGATCCCAACGATGGCCATGAAAAAACATGCACACCCAGGAGAACAAACCGCAGATTTCGCGGTCTCTCTGCCTATCTATTTGTCCATGTTTGTCAAGAAAGGATACAAAAAGGGTGATGCCATGTGATACCTCGAAATCAAAATATATAATCAAAATGGTTGTTTCAATGGGAAACACTAATGAACCATTTGATTTTGGGCTACCCCATATCTGTTCAGACAAACCATATCCAAATCACCAGCAGTTTGATCCGCAGACAGTCGGGAGGGTCATCCCAATTGGCAACTGGCACCCTGAAACAACCCCCCGAAACCAACGTGACCTGTAGGGGATGTACAGCCAATGAGGATTTTTCCCATAAAGTATCCATAGGGAATCTTCAATTGCCACGTTTGATGACACCGGAGGGTATATCCATCCATTAATCTTTCATGATATCCCCGCAATATTCCATCATATTC